TAATCTTGCGGAAATTGGTTTGAACAATACATTTTGCGTAGGCGATGCAAATAGTCGGGCTGTATTGCTATTTGATCATAGGCTTAGCTTTGCAATAGTGTACTTTATACAAATTTGAGCAACGTAAATAAAGTCTTGAAATAGCGCTACAATCTAACAGCAAGCTAACTCGGTACCCTGAAGTATGCATACCAAAACGGCAGACACGGAACGTAGTATGTGTACCAGGTTAGCGTTAGGCCATAATTTCAGATACAAACACTACGGGGAGTCACTTGGCTAGTTCCCGAACTCGTAATAGAACTAAAATAAAGAAAATTAGAATAAAATTATGGCTTGAAAAATACTTTAGCATACTGTAGAAGTTATTGTACGATTGTTCGCCAGTCAAGGCACACGATATTCGGCACATTCATTCCGTAAAACTGGCAGCGTCGAAACTTGCCTTTGTTACGTAATAATATGATCTATCGGCCTTGCCCAGGCATAAATACTATATGTGTATACTGTATCGTACTTTGCGCGTACACAGTACTGTATTATTCCCGTTTTAAAAGCACACAACATGCGCTGCATGGAACTTGTTCAAGGCAATATTTCGAGGTATGTTACCGAATTCTCAAGCGTGGTGACGCGATCGACTACTCAAGACGTGTTGGTCACCTCTTACATATAGCATATGTTTCACTGACTGTAGATATAGTAAGTTAAAATTATTGAAGTATGACTCAACTGCCTCCCGCTGCAATTCGAACGTGCAATGTGACAGTTATGCAGAACGAAGCCGATTCACATCCTTCTCTGGAAGTTATCATTTTTCCGATTCACTTTGAGAATATTACTTTGAATTGCGCATCATGGACTATCCAGGGTAAGTCGAGCCAGGGAAGTAAAATTGTGGTTGTATACGTGGAGTCGATGGCTCCGGCTCCGGATTATCTTGAAACCGGTTTCATATACCGTGTAACCCCGAAAATAAGACCTAGCCAGAATTTTAAAAATGATTTTAATATAAGCACTCCCCTTAAAATAAGACCTGACTGTCAATAACGCGAATTTTTTTTTTCCTAGTCTATAGCAAGAAATCTTTCCTACAAGTTCTAATGATTAGTTATCTATGTTTTGCAGTTGTTTTGAAAAGAAACTGTTATTTATAAGTGTCAAGTGAACGGATATCGGTTTTCATATTTTGTATATTCTGAAATCTCGTATTTCTCTACTTTGTAATTTTGTTTTTGATAAATAAAAATATAAGACATCCCCCGAAAATAAGCACTAGCGGTAATTTTTGGAAGAAAATTGAAATAAGACCCAGTCTTATTTTCGGGGAAACACGGTACAAACGTTGACTTAGACACCAACCCAAACAAACGTTACCATTTTTCACGTTTTGTAAGTAATAGTGCGGATTGCTCTACGTCAAGGGATCACAAACTTTTCTAGCCGCGCCCCTTTTTTAGAATTTGTCAAGTTTCGCACCCCACCTCAGAAATAACTAGCTAACAATAAGCTACAAACGAGAATATCGGTCAGAGATCGAAGACTTATCGATCGAAAGTTAGGGGATCTCCCAAAACAGCGCTCTTACTCCATAGTGACACCTTGTGGTCCCATCACTAATTGATTAATAACTCGCTAATTAAACGACAAATTCAATAGGCTTCTGGTGCGAGATAAGATGAATGCACATGCAAAATCTGGTACAGATTCAATCTCGCTTTCGTGAGATATCGCGTGCATCTAACAGACATACAGATACCTATCAACATACTTACCGATTAAAATCGATAAGTAATAACAGATAGTAAGGTGAAAGAATGTGGTATTGAAAAAACACGTGGTTGGAACGTAAATGATAAAATAAATAAAAATTTTCGAAATGTAAATATCCGAAACGAGAATATCGGTCGGAGACCGAAGATTTATCGATCGAAAGTTAGGGGATCCCCCAAAACAGAAACTGCGGTTTCGATTCATCCGCTTTTACTCCATAGTGACACCGTGTGTACCATCACTAATTGAATAATAACTCGCTAATTATACGACATAATTTATCCAAAATCAATAGGCTTCTGGTCCGAGATATGATGAATGCACATGCAAAATTTAGATCAGATTCAGCCTCGCTTTCGTGAGATATCGCGTGTATCTAACAGACAAACGAGAATATCGATGAGAGACCGAAGACTCATCGATCGGAAGTTAGGGAATCCCCCAAAACAGAAACTGCGGTTTCGATTCATCCGCTCTTACTCCGCAGCAACACCGTGTGTCTCATCACTAATTGATTAATACCTCGCTAATCATACGACATAATTCATTCAAAATCAATAGGCTTCTGGTCCGATATATGATGAATGCACATGCAAAATTCGGAGCAGATTCAGCCTCGCTTTCGTGAGATATTGCGTAACATACGAAAGTGTCTAACAGACAAATACCTATCAACATACTTACCGATCAAGATCGATAAGTAATAAGTCTGGAAAGGTCAAGTCTAACAAATATATATATTTTTAAATAGCTTCACGCCCCCTCAAAAGTTGTCTACGCCTCCCTTGTGGGGCGCGTCCCACCGTTTTAGAATCACTGACCGATGTGATCCGTCAAGGTTAATCAAACCAGAGGGCTGGAAACTTCGTAAAATTCACCATCGACTCTTAATCCGGATTAAAAAAAATTTGACTCCCACTCCAGCTCTGAGAAAAACAAATTTTGATAACAAAAAGGGTATGCGATTATTCTTTATTAGACTATAAAAGACGCTTAGTAAAATTAATACTTTTTGAGTTTCTGTGGTCAATTCTGACTTTTTTTTTTATCGCCACTTAGAATCTGAAATCCCGACTTTGACGAAATCAGAATTTCGACTTCGAATGAGGGAAAAATATGATTCCGATTACAGTGAAAGCATGCAATACCCCGACTCAATATTAAATCCGGTCTCTGGTTAGTTGGACCAGCGGACTTAAACCGTGGTTGCAGAGTCGACAAATCTGACTCCAGATACCGGACTCCAGTTTTTATGGAATTTTTGAGATGGAAAGGGTCGCCTGAAGGCAATTAATGTTTTTCTGTTAGATTCGATATTCTATTCGACTCTTCTTTAGAATCTAGTATAAATGTCTTACTTAAAAACGACCATTTGTTTTTTAGGCCAGCGCAGTATTGAAGAAGCTCGACCTTTTGCTTCGTTTCAAGATGGTAAAGATAGCTGTACAGATACTATATCTAAATATTGTCGATCTAAAGCAATACTCGACACGGATCGGTGCACTTTATACCTCACAAACGGTAATGCTGAGCCCAATATGTAGACCTACCATACGTACCGGTTTAGCCGGAACAGTCCCGATTTTGACAAGCTGTCCTGGCGTTCCGCCCGGTACACTAAAATGTCTCGGTCATGAGCATGGTAGTCGTAAACAATTATTTTATTATCAATACAAAATAGTTTTTTTGGTTGTTAGGAATTCCATTTACCACTGATTTGCGACTCACTTTATTAGTTCAGTGAGAACTACTATATTGTTATGTCATAGTTATTACTTATCGATCTTAAGATCGGTAAGTATATTGATAGGTATTTGTCTGTATGTCTGTCTGTCTGTGTGTCTGTGTGTGTGTCTGTTAGATGAACGCGATATCTCACGAACGCGTTGTTGAATCTGCTCCAAATTTTGCATGTGCATGCATCTTACCTCGGACCAGAAGCCTATAGACTTTGGGTTAATTATGTCGTATAATTAGCGAGTTATTAACTAATTACCGATCTAAGATCGATAAGTCTTCAGCCTCCGACCGATATTCTCGTTATATGTTTGATGTGCCAATTTAACATCCAACGTTAGTTGCCGTAAAATTATTCAGAATGCCGAAAAGAAAGTAAAAGTTTTCCGATGATTTAAATATATATTCATATGAGTTGAATGTTTCTAAGCCTCGAAATTGAACCAAGGTTTGTTCAATCGCACCGTCCCGTTTTTTTCATGTATATAGTAATCCCACTAATAAGACAAGTTAGCACGCTCTGCAGGGGCGAGCAAGCTTGGCTCGAATAAAGTCACATTTAGACCTGAATAACGGTTAGCATTGCAGGTTGTAGTTATTTGGGTGAACAGTGCCGACTTAAAACCTGAAAGATTCCGGCCCTTGCGCGAAACACTGTTTTATATTAATTAAAGAAAGTGAATATTCATTTCATTTTCGAATAATGGCAGCGCAATTACGCCATCACCCCCGGTTCAGTAATCACTCCTCACTGCTTATCTTATAGTGATTGACGGTTCAGGACACGAGTGCGAATGTTGAAATTTCGAAAAAAAAATTATCTGAATACATCACAAAGTATAGGTGCTCTTTATACTGTTCTTCAATCATACTCTGATGCAATATTCAGCAAATTTCTTCAATAAAAAGTTGCGGTTATTTAATGCAAACCAAATAAACGTTTTCGTTATTTTTTTCTCAAAAAAGTCTTTTATAGTTTAGTCCTTTTGGGTCGAAATCCTTATTTGCTAAGGGTTCAAAACAATGTCGGTTATCCCACGAAAGGCTGAACCACGACTAGTTGTTGTGGTTATTTGTAATCTTGATATTTTTTTTCTTTAGTTATTGTGAAAAAATCCTCTGAACTACTGGACCAATTGCTTTGGAATTTTCAGTGGTTAAAGATTCCTGTTGTCGCCAGAAGGCTACTACTTTTATTTAATTCCCAATATTTTGTGGGCTCTGAGAGATTCGATTTTTACTTTGAAGTTTTGCGTGATGACGTCATCAAAATTGCGCACCGTGTGGCTTCCGCGATCTGGTGAAGTGAAGTTGGGAGATTTTCGTTAAGTAAGACAATGGGTAGCTTACTGTAAAAGATTCAATACCACTTCGTTTTAGCCTTTGTGTCCATATATTTGAGCATTGTTCTCTTGTATATATTTGTGATTTGATAATTATTAATAAAATTGTTTTCCAAAATCTGACTTGTCTCTATTTTTCAAAAAAAGGACCCAACCCTGGGGGCAAATTGGAAAATTCTGTCAACTTTACCTGCACCCCGCTAATAACCACGAACACCCACTTCACTGCAACGACACCCACAGGTACGTTTTTTTCTTCGATCCATTAATATGCCCATGTTTATATAGGGGAAGCAAGCGGGTGGGGGTTTAAAGATGTGAAATTAGTTTCGACTACCGAAATAATCGTTTCTTTTATTTGTCGAAGAGGTATCGCAGACCATATTACTGAAACTTATCAGACACAAACAGAAGGTCAAGTGCTAAATGAAGTTTCGTCATTTTTGTAAAAGTCATTAGTAGGGCTGGGAATGGTTGACTGGATAATCGGTTAACCTATTTTAGAGGATTAACGGTTACGATTTATTTTAACCGTTAACTGACATCTCAGGTACAAATCATCTTTATAATGTATTATTTCTTCAAAGGATTAGTTCATCGCAAATTTATCTCCTGTGGCGTTTAATTCAAAAGAATATCACTAACTGTATTGGTAAGGACCCAATGAGTGTGAAAAATATTCGAAGTATCAAGATTGCAGATTATGAAAATTTGACAATGATAAATTCAGGATCAGTTTTCGGTCGAAATATATTGTTCGCGATTTTATTGCAAAATCGTTCATTCAATGCCATCCAACGAGTGTGGAGTTTTTTTTATATGATATCTCAAAGTAGAATTGCACGTCGAAAACTGAAAATTTGTCATATAAATGACATTCAATAACTGATTCGCGTTTTACCAAAATACTGCCATATGCTCAAACCACGTTGCATATCTCTTGCAGCAGAGCGATCACAAAACTATCTCCATTCGTGAATATTTTTGAGCGATACCGGAATAAGATCACCGAAATGGCTTTGTAACCATTGTAACGTAAACAAGCTTAAATTATTACGTCAAATGTCACGCTGCGGTAAATTTTACCCGGTGAAAGTGTTTTCCCTAAAATTTCCAGCCCTGGGAAATGTATTGGTTTTTTATTGGGAGATGATGGGACGCGAACCCGTACTTGTCTTTAGACGAACGCAGCAAAGGGGTAAAGTGCACCGCCGCTGACAACTAGCGTTATCTTTCACGCTTCAAATGTTGTGCTAGATTTGAAGAGTGTCGTGTTAATGTAGCTAACGTAGGATAGGGTTTACATATTTCATGGGGGAAAGGGAAGTGCGCGAGCGTATTCCTAACGCTTAGAACGATGCGCCACCCTGAAATAAAAGAATCTGTTGTTGGAGAGAACCTGCTCTCAAATTTTGAATTCTACCACTGCTTTTAAGATCTACCCACCGAAAGTACTACTCATACAACAGGAACCTTTCTCTCCACAGAAAATACAACCCGGAAAGTGCCGGTAAACACCGACAAGGATATGGCAGGAGACAACTTCCCAGTTTGGGTGATAATCTTGATTGCCTCTGTCATAATGGTGATCATTTTGATGATTGTGGCGTACAGAATAGTAAAACGGTGAGTGAAAAATACGTTATGTTCACAAAGAATATCAAGATTATAATTTTTCGTTCATTTTTCCGAGTTTAAAGTTGCTTTTGGTCAATATCGCCTCTCTCTTATTGAAATAGGATTTCCATAGTAATCCCGGAGAAACGGAAACTCGATAGGACGTCTTAATTACATGGCGAACAACGGGCTATAGTCTGGTTAACAGTCCATGTCGGTATAGGTAAATAATTATTCAGCTTTTTTTCTCTGAATCCAACGGTGACTCCTCCAATATAAGTTGTTACCCTCCCTCTGTGGAAACTGTGTATAAACAGAAACAGCGAATATATAATTTGACGACATACACGTACGGTACTTACCTCGGGGTGGGGTCGGTATTCATGAGTCAAGAACGCTTGTCAAAGCGTTTGATAGGTGGTTGACCAGTCTATCGTGACGCTTCATGTACACATTTAAATTGTTTCTGGACAAAGTCTCGGCCACTAGCGGTCAGGCCACCACATAGGTGTTTCTCCGATCGTAATGACTTGCATTTCTTTCAAGTCTCACGTCAATCGGTATTTACTAACATAGCAGCTCTTGGAACTTTAGTTGTCACCTTTAACGTTGCTCAGAGATCAGTTTCCTTTAATACTAAGTAGCCTACCGTAAGTTCTCACGACCTTGCTTTGAGCCAAGTTTTAAAGCTAGAAAAATTTTGTTGATCATTTTCTATTGATATCCGTAGACGAAAAGCGGCGAGGAAAGAATCTATTACCGCTAAAGGAGATGGGAATGTGCCACAAGATGGAGCCAATAATCCTGTTTTTGAGTCGGATTACACGCTTGCAGTTGATCCAAACAACTCAAGAGGCAACGATGCGTCATCAGTATCAACGCCACAGCCTACGTCACAAGCTGTTGTTAATAACTACGAGGAAGCTAAGCCTCTAGGTCACGTGACAAACAATGAGAACAATGGCCCATCAACCAGTAATCTTTATCATGTAATAAACGATGCTCCCGGAAATGAAACTACGCGGGAAGGATTGTATCATGTGATAAAAGATTTGGCGCCAAAATCTGAATCACGTGATGGGAATGAGAGCGAACGAGAAATGGTCGACAATGTGCTATATAATATGTAATTTTTTTGTGGGTTTCGTAAGTGAGAGAAACTCTCTTCAGTTTTTTTGACAGTAATCACGTGACGCATTCAAAATGCGCCTTTATCGATATTCACTGGGAATCCTGTCGCAACAAGGAATGTAAATTTATATGTATTTTAAGGTCGCCACGAGTGTTCTGTTCCTATTTTTTTTTCGTTATGTTTTCATTTCAACCTGAGTTGTGATTGCTGTAGAATCTGTTGTATCAAGCACCCACCAAAAATACCTCCGTCACCGCTCAAATAAAAAAACAATTAATATTTATCCTGTTAGAGTGAGGGCTAGTAATGCAAGTTGCGCTGAAAATTCAAATTTTCAAATCATTCCTAACCCTAACCCCAACTGGATAACTACGCAGTTGTTATATCAAACGTGTTTTTCTCAAATATCACATTTTTTGTATTAGTGAGGGGGATTTGTACAAAAGATCCAGATGTATATGAATATACTACAAGCTGTCTGTTTTATTGAAGTGGGTGATAGCAATATGTTTTTGTGAATGTTTCCAATTTCTATACAAACAAACGTCATCAGGACTATCTGTCATTGCCCTGATAAGCCGTCTGTATATATGATGTACGCAGGGGCGTCATCAGGGAAGGTGGGGGGTAGGGCTCGGTATTTCGAATCGAATATTCGAATCAAATCGAATAGTAAATTATTCGAATCGGTTCAGAGCAAAATTTTGAATCGACGCCATCTTGTTTTTTTCTTTCCCCCAATTTTCGAGGTAAATTTCTCAATTTTTTTGAGAAAAAAAAAACCATTGAAATTGAAACCATATTTTTTCAACCCAATTCTGACTTATGACTCTTTTCTGTTGTGACTTATTGATGAAAACGTGTTTTTTTATTGAGTGTGAACACTCAGCAATCGTTTCCAGTAATTTATGTGTCTGGAAGACCCAATACAAAAAGAAAGTAACATACAATTATATATCTCCCAAGTATTCGAGATTCGATTCGAAAAAAATATTCGATTCGATTCTGAAATCATCAGGTATTCGAAAATGCCCAGCCCTAGTGGGGGGTTGAGGGTCGCACCCCCCCCCCCCTTTTGAATGCGAAAAAGAAAATAATTTTCCTGTATTATGCTTGCCAATCTTTCGTAGTTTCATACCTTGAAACGCATTTTAGACTCTCAAGACCCTTGAAAACCCGGACTTGTTATCTGTCACGGTCTAACTTGGTCATTAGAAATTTCAGAACCTTCTTCCCCCGCGAAAATTCGTTGATGTGCGTTGCCGAGCTGCGCAGACAACCTCGTCAAAGCTATTCAACGCCCTGTATAGGCGTCTGTGTTGTACATACCAGTGGTTGACATTTGTTCAACACAAAATGTTGTTGTTGGTATTTTTCTTCTTGATGTTATGAAAATTTTCTTATTCACTAGTATACCAATTTCTTTCACATTTTTAGTGGTTGAAGATTGTATTTTTCGCTAGAATGCTATTACTTTTATTTATTTTTAATTTTCTATGAGATCTGATATTTGATTCAAAATTTTGCTATAATTTTATTTTTCATTGGAACAAGGTTTTTAATTCGCAAAGCGTGACGGCCGTTTCCAATTCCACACAGTGCTCGGAGATTAATTGATACCGGTAAACCGGTACGAGTACAGGTGATAAATATGACATGAGCAAATTACGGCCCGCAAGCCAGTCCCGGTCCGTTGAGTAATTCAATCTGGCCCGCATGATGCTACCACAACCAAGCTGAAACCAAATTTTGATTTTTTATCTGAAAAAAAATATAAGGAATTGGTTGGGATTGCGATTAAATTTAGTTTTAGCACCAGGCTTATTGTTTTTCACTTTTGCTTTGTAACACTGTAAATATTGTTTATAAATTTTTTTATACGTCACACTTACATGACTCGCTAGCCTGGGTGAACAAAATTTTTAGCCTCTGGTATAAAAAATGCTTTGCTTTTGATTTCGTGTCCATATATTTGAGCATCGCCCTCTTGTTTATCCGTAGTAAAGCATGCAAAACTAGTGAGAAGACTGTGATAGAATTGTGGCTAATATTTTCGTCTGCTTATTATCAAGTATGCTTGTTCTATAATTGTTTCAGTTTATTTAACTAGAATCTCAAAACGAATGTTTTTTTTAATTTTCTATGCAAAATCCAAGCAGTCCTACAGTACAATCAATAACTTTTTTGGAGAATTAGGATTTTTGTACCAATCTAGAGGGAGAGAATTATCCAGTTAAGGTTTGAGGTTAAAAATGATTTGAAAATTTGAATGTCCAGCGCAATCGACATTTCTAGCCCTGACTAAATAGTTACTATTTTATTTCAGCGTCGGCAGGGTTGTTTTTAGGCATGGGCTTTGTACAAAAGATCCAGCAATAGTTAACCTGGTATTCTATATACATGGAATTTTTAGTTTAATATATAATTGTGGGTACTCAAGATAAGAAAGGCGACAAGGCGGATCAAATAACAAGCAAATAACATTTAGCGTAGTCGTGTGTCGCATTTTGAACCATTAGCACACACACATTAGCGGGTTTCTGCTTGAATCATATTCCCTTCCATCTATAGTATCTACATTCTCGCTAGTTGGCACACACGAGTAAAAATATTCGAGTTTTCCAGATAGAATAATTGCGACTTTCTCCTATCCATTAGATGTACTTGTACTTAACGGGAATAATTATTGTTTCAAATAATAACGACCCCCCCCCCCCCCCCCCGCCCCCGCCCCTCAAAAAAAACCTACGTGGGAGGAGAACCTTCATATGATCTAGCCCGGGGGCTTGAGTTGAATACTTTTTGATGAGATAATCATATTATCCAATAATGTTTCTTAAATCTCACAAATAAGCACCATTGTAAGTATTGATAGGAACTAACAGGTTAACTATTCCCAAATTTGGCCTGAAATAGTAACCAGAAGGGCGCCATAGATCGCCCACTAGATAAACTATTTTATCGCTATTTTTTTTTCCAAAAATAAATATTAAACAAAATTCCGCCCTACCGTGTATATTACGTCATTAGAATAGGGACACCTACATCTGTTTTTTACGAAGAATTTTGATCTCTGGGTGTTCCCGAAGTATGCGAACCAAGATGGCAGACATCGGAGCGTAACATGGGTAACAGGTTAGGGTTAGGCCATAATTTTTCTTATTTTAGTCCTATTATCAGTTCGAAGACTAGCCAAGAGCCTCCCGTAGTATTTATACCTGAAATTATGGCCTAATCCTAACCTAGTACACATATTACATTCCGATATCCGCCATCTTGGTTCGCATACTTCGGGAGCCCCGATCTCTGACCTCGCCGAGGAAATCCTCTATCGGTTTAAGGACAAGAAAGACAAAACGAAGGGTACTCCCGTAGGTTACCAGGTTAGGGTTAGGTTAATTTAATTTAGTTCTATTACGAGTTCGGGGACTGTCTGTGTTAGCCAAGTGAAAATACCCCCTGCTCATAGGCTTCAGTCCCTTTGCACAACTTGATGTAAAGTAGGCGAACAAAATTAGTTACCTCCATATTGGTACACACACTTCTGGAGCGCCGTATTTGTATATGGACACGAAACCCAAAACGTAGTAGTATGGGTATGCTACCTGTCACTGTACCGGTACGGTATCGTAGCCTCCACGACTTAGACTGACCACCAGATCGCAAACGCGGAACCGCCACAAGATGCGCAATTTTCAATTTTGATTACGTTATCACACAAAACAGAAAAACAAATTCCATAGAACCCTCAAATTCTTGAAATAAATAAAAGTAATAGCCTCTAGCAAAAATACAATCTATAATCACTGTAAATTTCAAAGCTATTGTTCCAATAGGTAATGAGAAAAGCGATTTTTTTTCAGAACAACAACAAAAACAGCACATTAACAAAATGATCCTTAAGTACATATCGTGTTCAATAACATTAATGAAAACCGCTGGGAAATCATTTATCAATTCAAATAGCAATAAAATACAGTTTGACATCATATTTATGTAACACAAACTACTAGCAAATTAAAAAAAAAATAAACGGTGTTAACCGTGTTACGTTTACATATAGGTGTGTGGAAGCATATGGAACAATTTCGGTTACTTTTTTATATCAAAATACTATAATAAAAGAGTTCGAAGTAAAAACAAATCAGACCTCGTCTATCAAATGTGAAATTCCAAAAACGAAAAGGGCAATTTTAATTCGCTCGAACGGAAAAGCGCTCAATCATTTTACCTGCAATATACCTTAGTTTGACATCATATTTTGCAATTGAAGCACACTATGAATCGATTGTGATTTTATTTTCATTGTGGCCATCGTGAACGATAGTGAAGGCGTGTGCTGGGGGCCCCTCAAAACCACCACACATTCACGAGGGGGCCGAAGGTACAGTTTCAGGAACCCTGCATCGCATTATTAATAAAATGGAAAAAAGGGGGGGTTGTCCCCTTTATGCGCCGTAACACGCAAAGCGTGATATGATTAGGGAATCGAGTCCGGATTCGATTACAGAATCGGTTTTTCGCGAAATCGACTGGAATCGATTCCGACGCATTGCTTTACAGCTACGTTGAGTTGCTATGACGCCGCAAACTTCACTATATATAATATATATATTTCGCTAGAGGGTTTTAACGTTTATTTTATTCCAAATCTCTGGGGGTTCTGAGGGATTCGTTTTCTTTGTGAGATTTTGTCTCCTGTAACAGATTGGATACCCATACTACCTAGTTTCAGCCCTCTTGTCCGTCCAGAATTTGAACATCGTGCTCTTGTTTGATTTCATATGGTAATGATTAGATGGGTATGTTTTTTCGGTAAGATATGTCGAGGAATCGAAAATCGGAATCGAAAATTTAGGAAACGGATAAGAATCGAATACTTGTAAGTACTCATACTTGGCATCCTTAGATATATTACGTCAAAAATAGTATGACAACACTCGTTGAGTTATGATGTATTTTTTTGTATGATTTAAATCCTTCCCTTCCCAGAGGAGAATGAAGATTGGAGTGGAATTAGCACTATTGTATATCAAAGACTATACGGCTGTATATTTTAAAATACGTGATGATTTCAGAATCAAATCGAATATTTTTTTCGAATCGAATCTTGAATATTTAGAAGAAAATTCTTCCAACATTTGAATTTCTGTTCGAGTATGATGTATGATTGTGGCCCAAATATCAGTAATTTAGTTCCAAACTACTTGAGTTTTATTTCGTCGTGTATTTGAGTATTGCTCTCGTGTTTTCTTCGTGAACAAAATTGTTTATCTTTTTCGGCTTTATTTGAATATAGATAGATTTTAATTACAATAAAGATACCACGATAAAACTTAATTTATTTCAAAAAATACGTTTCGAGATGTTTCACCCGATAACCTTTATATTCTACCAAAATACAGAAATAATTGAACGAGCGTCGAGACAGGACGTGATGCGGTTGGACTGTGATATCACAGTGCGCTGATTTCAAATGTTTTTCGAGTTATAGTATTCAGTATGGTAGGAGGG